TAAATAATATTGTGTTTTCGTTAGCTAGTTTCCCCATGGGATTCACATTAAGCAGGAGTTTACAGCGTTTTACTATAAAAAGCTCCGTAAATTTCAATGAAGCACCCGAATTAGACATCCTTTCTTATTGGCAATCTCTTTCTATAGCTCCTCTCTGCCACATTCAATATGGTGGTTACGTCTGCGTTCAGGCCAGTGCCCAAAGAGGCATATATGTATTCATGTCTCTGGTTTCACATTCAAGGTTCCAAACGTTTTATCAACCCGGTGAATATTTAGTTGACCTTGGAGGTTAACAATTATAATAAGATTGGGCTAGTTAAAGCTAGAAAAATTATCCAGCTGACAACTCTGACATACGAGTACAGTCTACCCATGAACTGCATTGAAATGAGATTAATTAAAGCAAGCAAAAGGGGAAAAACTACTTTAAGTTTCTAAACTACATGGCAATTTTACATATTCCTACCACTTTAGATGTCTTAAATCAAATGTGCAACCTCTAAGGTGGTTAACAGGTGACAGGTGGTTCGCTGTCATTTTAGCTGGTAAGCGGCTATCACTGATAAAGAGCAGTAGGACGGTTTATTCTTAGCCCAGTTTGTACATAAGAGCAGATATTTGCTCAATTTTTTTTTTTTATTTTACATAGATTAATATACAGAAATAGAAGCTCTTATCAGATTGATATTATGGGCAGTGCACCTTCTCTAGATTCTTATTCTACTCTCACTTTTAATTACAGGCATATTTTCTTTTAGCGATTTGTACTGTTTAGAAAAATAAATGCAGTAAAGCTGCAAAACAACAGTAAATTGTGCATGAAGAAGCAGTAAAAAAGGCACCAGCAATCATGTTAATGTCAGAACTTTTTGGAAAACACAATTTCTCTATTATGCAACCTACAGTGGTGAAAGCAGTCTACAATTCCTCATCACTTTCAATATAACTATTTACAACTATTATCCAATAATGTGTTTCGGTGTTTTCGCATGTCTACTATGTTTTAAAGCCACACAACACAACAGATTGTATTGCTGCCAATAAGCAGTTAACTTTACTTTGGTAAATTCTCGTTTATGCTTGACCTGTCCCAGAAGTCCGTACGGTGCCGCGTTGCAGAATTATGTCGTATAAGCATCTATATCCCTCCACATGGCTTTTGTGCAACCTGATTTTCCCCCGCCTCCAAAAATTTGTAAAAGCTAGTTTATGCTTATTGCAACATTGCGCAATGAAACATGCATAATGTTTCATTGCACAAAGTTGGCAACAACAAAGTTTGCAGCATTTTATTCTCTGTTTAGCTTTCTCCCACAGTACATTATATTCTGTCGCACTCTAGGAGAGCGAGCTAAAGCAAGAGCTACAACACCACATACATGTTGACGAGGAAAAGGCAATTGTTTTCTACTGTATGTTTTCAGTGGCTATTTATGACATCCAAATGTAATAGTAATTCCTTTTTAGGAGATGTTAAATCTGTTAATCACAGTGATTCTTTTTGTCCAAATCCTAACATTTTAATTGACGCTTATATATGTGAACCCACTCCGGAAGGAGCTTTTGCTTTTACTTGATGGTTTTCAGCACGGAATTGTCTGCTAGTTATTAAATTTTTCTAGAAGCGCTGTGTGGAATAATCAGGATGCGCAACAGCTGCGCAGAAGGTCATGCATGCTGGAAAGACGGATATTGGCTGCTCTTTGTACGGACCGTTTATGCAGATTCGTCAGCATATCTGAACTGTAACTACCGTATGTAGACTGTTCCTCGTGGAAAAATATGGCGGACTGGCGGGTTCGCTAACAAAGTACCTATAGACATCTATAGAGTGTCTCATTTATGTGTGGAATATATATACTTATTGGGTGTGACTCAATTGTAGGAAGTTAATAGAGTTGGCCCACCTTCAAAAACAGACTACTACCATGGCTACACCCCAGTTTGTCCATTTTGCTACAGTTTATCTGTTGTTTTTCCTTATTTGAGATGCATAATTAATAGTCCTATTTAACTATTCTCTGTCTTTCTGACTTTTTTTTACTGATGCAGGTTTTCTAGTCCAGGAGAATAACGTGGCCCTCATTCAAATACCCCAAGATAAAAACAGCTGTGGGAGCCATCAAACTGTGTAGGAGGGAAAAAGAAAACACAGAAGTGAAATTTAATGGTGTTTCGGTTTGTTGTACTGCGTAATGGCCCAGTGTTGTTGCTGAAAATCTGCTGTAATGAAAGGCTGCCCTGCTTTAAAGAAACACAAGCTGGACAGTTGATTGGCCCTCATCAGGATTGTGGGAAAAATGTAGAGACTGAGGCAAGAATCTGTCAAATTGTTGTCAAGAGGAAAGGTGATTCTTTTTCTTATTTATTCATTTTTTCCACAGGCTTTAATGAAGGCTGACTGTGTTGTGTTTTTCTCATTGTAAAAGCTGTCATTACTGCCGGCACTGTAAGCTGCAGTCATCTCTTGGTTCTGATTATTTAGGCACTATCTCATCATTTGCATCTCTTTCTTTTCTTCTTTTCCTCTGCCATACACATCACTGTAAAATTTTCCAAGAAAGCTCTGCATGTTTTTGACGCCATTCGTCCCGTGTAAATATTCCCTCACTGCAGAGATCTGCAACTATAAAAGGAACACACAAGGCATCCTCCTTTTACCAAGCGATAATCTACAATGTCTGAAAGGGTTAGAGAGCTGAAGTGTGTCACAGTAAGCGAATGATATTCTGGATGAGCCCCTGTTGAGAGTCTTTCAGCAGTCAAGTATAGCTGCTAACTAAAAATGTTATGTTTGGCTCTGTCCGTTCCCCTCAATATTCTTTTTTGGCCATAGTTCAAGAATCCGTTGTTCATAGTTGAGTCTGTGTGCAGCCTTTGTCGCAATTTAGGAAATATTACAACACATAGATCTTGATAAAGAATGAGATTTCTCTCCAGCCTCATCTCTGAGTCCCTGTGATCAGCTATTCTTAGCTCCTCGTAAACACAGCTCTCTAGTAGTGTCTAAGTGGGAAATATTACAATAGATCCATCTTGTTAAAAGATTTTCCAGGGATCCTAACACAGTCTGGCTGCAGTAGTGTGAGAAAGGAGGTGGTGCTCAGCAGCTCTAAATCTAGGCAGCAGCCCAGACCATTTACCTCCCTCTGCTTTGCTGCCAGATCAGATAAGCATAGACAGTATTTGCAACATTTGTTTTGACTCTTCGCCATCCTACTGGGGACCTTGCTTTTGGCCCCCATATTGTAGATTTTGCCTGGCTGGTCTTAGGCTTCCATGACTCCTACACATTGGCCTGCTCATTAGTCAAACATGATACTTTTAACTTAAAAGCTCTTTAACTATTAACTGTTATGGAAGTCTAGAGATATGCACACGGGTCCTGTGCATTTTTATTTCTAAGTCAAGATCATAGGTCTTAAAATATAAAAGTTCTTTATTGGTTTAATGTTACTTTTGTTTTGTTTTGTTTTGACAAATGAAGTGGTGCTTCCTAAAGCTGTTTTGAAAATAAAGGTTTGAGCTGATTAACCCATATATTGCTGCTGAGAAATGACTTTCTATTTTAAGTGCTGTAAGACAGCACATCTCATCTTTAATATCAGAATTTTCATTCTGATTAGCCAGTTTTGTCAAAACATATACCTTTGAAAAGAGTATAGCCTTTAGGATTAAACATTCTTCTCCTCAAGCTTACATCTCTGTTTTAAAAAATTGTTTTGTTAAAATTTCCCGTGTTGTTTTGGTCATGGTTTTGGATCTTCAGCCTTTTGATAACACATTTTCAGTTTCTAGCAGATGCTACCTAATTCTGATTTAGAATGTCCTGATACTTCAAAAAACGTATGACTTGCACACTAACAGAGTTTTAGCACATTTTTCTATTAAGAGGCCCACAGGATATTGGTAACCCCAACATGTTTAACAATGGGGATGCTTACATTTACAGGCTCTTTTTTATTGTAACAAACCTAACTCCTAACTAGCTTAGAATTCTATGTACCGGTATGTGTGTAGTAGAATCATTATATATATATAGTTTTGTTCTTCTCTGACTTCCCTACCAAATAACAGTTTGTAATTTTCATAAGATCAATGTTCATTTGATCAAATTTATTTATTCATATTCATTCTTGCTGAAGCCACTGTTATGTGCAGTTCCCTGATAATGAGCTGAAGGGAATCAAGCCCTGCCGTTGGTGTAGATCCTTGGTCCTTGAATTAGGTGCAATTATACCTTTTTCCTAAAACAGTTCCAGCCCTCATCCAATGTTTTTAGGATTGTTGCCTTGCAGTATGAAGATCCTTGGTTTCAATCCCATCCATGAATCCCATCCTATCTTCCTCTGATTCCAGAAATGTGTGTTAGGAGTCTCTTACTTGCCTTAAGTTATCAGTGTGTGTCTACATTGTTTTGTTTATTTTCTGTTTTTCCCTGTTGTCCAGTAAGGGTGTTCATATATTCAATGCTTGATATATACATCAGTCCCTCTCTGGGTTGCTGAGAATGAGATTCTTTAACTAAGGTCTATTGTCTATTCTCTCTGTGCATGTGTAAGTTCTCTGTAGGTAGTCTGGTTTCCTCCAACAGTCCAAAAAATTTACTATTAGGTTAGTTAGTGTCTTTTAATTGTCCTTATGTGTGAGTGTGTGCATCATTGTATATCTCTGTGTGTTGCTTTGTTGACCAGCAACAGGCTGTCAACCTGTCACGGGTGTACCCCACCTTTCACCCATACATTGCTGGAGGTAGGCACTAGCCCCAGTGAAGATGGATGGATGGTCCATCCATTCATCCATCCATGTTTAGCATCTTACCATTTGGTGCCTAACTCCTGCGGTCAATGAGGTTAAGTACATACTGAATAGGGTCAAGATAAGTTTTGACTCCAGAAAGGCTAGAAAAAATATTTTAGTACATCTAACAAATGCAAAACATTCATACTTTATATCTCTTTGTTGACTCTCTTTTATTTGTTTTTGTTTTTCTTTAGATTCACACAGAAGCTAAAGAGCTGCAGCTCTTTACAATCAACAAAGGAGATGTCGAAAACAATTTGGGAGGACTGTTAGAATGGCCGTGGCTAGTCAAAGGCCTAGCTGCCTTGCACAGAGGAGGCTTTCATGTTTACCTGCATCAGTGCAGCTTTGGGGCACATTTTAATGATGCCTCAGTTGACTCTTTTGAATAACTCTCGGCCAACACTGAAAAAGGTCCTCACTTATCAATGTTCCATCAGCTCTGACCTTTTTGTTGCCATGCTATTGAACCAATGAGGCTCATAGAGCCATTTATTTAGTATCTGTGAGGTATCCTCCTCACTCTATGGAGGCTGAGCCCAGCCGTCTGGCCAATGAGGACCGCTCTGGAAGGCAAGAATCACAGCATGAAACATCTGAGTCTTCATTAGGGTCTTGTCCACCTCAGCAGCCCCAGCAGCCTCCCAATCCTCGTCCTGTACATAAAGCTTTGGGCCGTCTACAAAATCGTCAACCAAAACGTACTGACCTGCTTCGGTTACAGCAGCAGCAAGCAGCAGCATGGCAGCATTCAGACACCCCAGGTACCTCTGGAGGCAGCTTTTTCTCTGCATCTTCCACCTCATCCACCACCACTATGCCCTCCACCCAGGGTGAGCATGGTCATGGGGGGCCATCTCACTCCAGTCAAGAGGTTCTAGAAGGGGTAAGCTCTCCCAAAAAGGGGGAGAAGAAACCCCAAAAGCCAGGGAAATATGTGTGCTCATATTGTGGCCGTCCGTGTGCCAAGCCAAGTGTTCTTGAGAAACATATTCGCTCACACACTGGAGAAAGACCCTACCCTTGTGCTCCTTGTGGCTTTTCTTTTAAGACCAAGAGCAATCTGTACAAGCATCGCAAGTCTCATGCACATCGAATTAAAGTAGGTCTGGCATCCAGTCGAGATCAGCCCAGTTTTGGTGGACCAAAGGATAGCAGTATTGGAGAAGACCGTGAAGAGCACACAGAGGGAGAAAGCACTGAATCTGAAGATGAGACAGGCGAGTGCAAAAAATCTTCCTCTAAGGAGATGCTTGGACAGCAAAGGAAAGGAGGAAAGGAGCGACCTGGAGGCTCTGAGGAGAGCCAAAGACCTGAGGACTCTCAGGCTGTCAGGCAAAGATTGGCATTAAGGCTTAGAAAACGTGGCCCCATGACTTCACCAGATAACCCTTCCTCTTCCTCCTCCTCTCTCTCCACCTCATCTTCTTCTTTAGGCCCTGGTAGTAAGGGAAGCACAGAGTCTGGATATTTCTCTGGCTCAGGAAGTACTGACCTTTCACAAGTTAGCCCCCCAAATTCCAGTGCCAAAACCTATGCAGAAATTATTCTGGGAAAATATGGAAGAATCGGAGGGCAACAGCGCAGTCCTCACCAGCACCAGCTTCCTACTTCACACTCCTCATCGACAGGAACTGAGGAAAAAAGTGTTCCCTTCGCTGTACCCAAAACCCAAGTGATAGAACATATATCAAAGCTCATTACTATCAATGAGGCAGTGGTGGACACAAGTGAGATTGACAGTGTGAAACCTCGACGCTCCTCCCTATCCAGGAAAAGTAGCATGGAGACACCCAAATTTATCGCCCCTAAAGATCCCTATGCTTTTGACCCAAAAACAGAAGCTGCAGGCCCCAGTAGTTTAAGGCACTCACAGAACTCTGAGTCAGATCCATTGAGTACACAGGAACTTTCAGCTGTGCCTCTTCTTAGAAGTCACTCATTACCGTCAGCTACAAGCCAACTAGAGCCCTTCCCTTCTGGTACCATGTCTCCAAGAGGTTACCGCCTTAGCCAGTCATTTGACGAGCAGCAAGCGGTTGTTGCAGAAATGAGAGGCATTCAACGCATGCTTAGACGGCAGCCTGCCATAGAGGTACCTCTGGGTGCTGAATCAATGTTAGAAGAGGGCAGTCCTGCATCCCCATCCTCCTCAACAGGAGGAACAAATTCAGGCAAGCAGCCACATCAGCTTCTAAAGAGTCAAAGTATGTTTGAATGTAAATCTTGTAGGGCCCGTTTTCAACACAGTGAAGGTTATGAGAGTCACATAGGCATGTGTCAAGGACCAAAACAAGAGGAAGGTGGGAGTACAAGCAGCCTGTGCAGAGAGAACCGACCTCCACTGATGCACTCAAAGTTCCGAGCACTGGCAATGGCTGTGAGAAAGAGGCGGAAAGAGGAGAGCCTGGAGGAGGATCCCCCCAGTCCTGGAACTGTCCCTGTGTCAGGCAGCTTTGCAAGTCTCACTTCAGTACTAAGCAGACCAGAGCACAGCCAGGCCTTCTCAGGTTTGTATATAGACTTTTACTAGACAACAGGTGGCCTATTTTGGTCCCACAGACCAAAGACCACTGGTACTTTGTAATTTAATTTATAATTGTTTATGGACCAGAAATACTTTGTTGAATCTTGTGCTGTGCATGTGTGGATCTTGTGTGCTTGTGTGAATCGTACTGTGTGTCTGTAGATCTTGTCCATTGTGTGTGTGCGTGTATTTTTTTCTGTGCTTGTGTGAATGGTTCCATGCATGTGTGGATCTTGTCCTGTGCATGTATCAATCACATATGTGTATTTGGGAAAATTGAGAATTATCTACCTCCATACATTTGTGATGATTTAATTAATTTAGCGTTTATCAGTAAAAAAATTAAAACAATAATTTCGTCACAATCACTGAACCATTTTTTGCCCAAATATATATATGTATATATATTCATTATTCAGAAATTAAGATTCAACAGTTCAATTTGGGGGAATTTATATGATGCTAAGCACCTCCTCTTTGGAGGTGGAATTGCTTAGGTCTTTACTTGACTTTGACAGGCTATCTGTACCTAAAAAGAGTAGGGGATCTTATATTTATTTAAATATTTGACATTTTCTGAAAATTTTAACAACCCCCTCAAATATAGCCTTTTAATGTCTAGAGGTACAAGCTAAATTTATACTTGTGAGAACAATGATAGAGGGTTATGTTAGGCTACACGGTATTGTAGAAGCAAAACCTTTTAAATCTAAAACCCTGTAGCTAATCAATATGATGCCAACTTGTTTTTATTTTTTGTCTGGTCATTGCCTCTAGGTGTTACTTCAAACACAGAGCCAAACAAACAACAGCAACAACAGGACCGAAAGGGTGTTTCTGTCATCCAACACACTAGTTCCTTTGAGAAACAAGAGAGTGTTTCTATGGAAAGCCAAGAGCCAGACCTCAGAGAGAATCAGCAGCAAAAACAGCCTGAGCCAAAACCCTCACCTTCCACATCTCGCCTCATCCGCCAGCCAAACATCCAGGTGCCAGAGATCCTTGTTACTTTAGAGCTTGATGCTGACATGCCGTCGGTTTCACCACCAGTGAGAGCATCCTCGTCCAAGGTATCCTGTAAATGAGATGTAATGACATGTGTTGCATTGTACTTTTTAAATATTTAGCAATTCTTTGCTTACCTGGGAGATTTTGTTAATGTATTGTTCTTTTGCAGGAACTCGAGAAGCCGGAGGAGTTTCAGTGGCCTCCGCGTAGCCAGACTCTGGCTCAACTACCTGCAGAGAAGCTGCCACCAAAGAAGAAAAGACTCCGCTTAGCTGAAGCAGCTCAGTCCTCTGGGGAGTCAAGCTTTGAGTCTATGTCACTGCCTCGCAGTCCCAGTCAAGAAAGCAATGTCTCAAGCCTTTCGGCTTCTTTTGAGGACACAGGACGTTCAGAGTCTGTTTCTTGGGCCATTGGGAGCCAAAGCTCTCAAATGCTGATGGTGCCCTCTGCTTCTCAACAACACCACCAAAGCCACAAGGAGATGAGGCGTTCAGCCTCAGAACAGGCCCCTCCCAGGCCCCAACAAACTGAAGAGATCTCGGAGACAAGAAGTAAATCATTTGATTATGGGTCCCTTTCCTCTCAGCAGTCCACATCCTCCTGGAAGGAGAAGAGAAAGTTTCTTTTAAAACAAGCCACTCTAGGTGAACCTGAACAGGAGATGGTGGGCAGTATTAGTCAAAGTCCAATTCCTGGTCCTTCTCACCCTAACATCCCTTATCTTTACCCTCACTTCTTTCTGGATGCCACAGAGAAGCCCACACAGCTAATACATTCTGAAATGTTCTCAACTGCCCATGACGTGCAATTCAGAGATGAGCGTGCTTTTCAAAGAGGGCCGCTTTCACAGCTACTTCCCATAACCACAGCCATAACTGAAGTTCTTTCACCCCAAGTCATTCACAGAGCCTTCTTACAATCGCAATCTGGAGGTCTCATTCAATCCCACCCAGGGCAGATCCAAGTACCAGAACGTTTGAGAAATCCCCTGCATCATCTACCACCCCTTGCTCCTCTTCCAAGCTCCCCAGGGGTTAGAAGTAGTCAGTCTCTGTACTGTCCCTTTCCACCAAGACTTGGCACACAAATTCCTTTTCAGTCCTCCACAGAGACTAGATCATCTATCTCCTCCCTGTCTTCTACTCTAACCCAACATTCTCTGGTAACCATATCTTATCACAAACAGCAACCGGTCATTGCCACATGTCTTTCACAGCTTACACCAGTGGTATCACTTATGGTACCAGTGCGCCTCCAAACCCATAGACCAACCTTTGCCAATGCTATATATACTACCCTCTCCCAGATTTTGGCTTCCACACGCTCACAGAACTCAACCCCTTGTACAGCTATGATCATAATGGCACAAACAGAACAGGAGAAATTGCAAAGATCATATCTGAAAGTTCCATCTCAGTCAATCAAGAACTTTCCTCCCCTTTCCCTGTCAAAGGAGCTGTCCTCAGTGTCTGTGGAAGAATATAGTGCTCTGGGACCTGGAGGAAGCAAACGAATGCTTTCTCCTGCAGCTAGTCTTGAACTCAGCACTGAAGCTATGCGTCACCAGAAAAGAGTAAAAGAAGAGGAGGAGGAGCAATTCAAAAGCCTTGAAGAGGAAGAAGGTGTAGAACCCAAGGTATGCCAAGAAGAAGAAGAAAGCAATAACACAGAGAAAACACAGGGAGAGGGGGAGAAACAGCATACAGAAGGAACAGAGAGGACAGGAGTCAAATTAGAGGAGGCGCAGAAACAACTTCCATGGAAAAATAACAATGAAGAAAAAGAAGGAAATGAGAAATCAAATGAGAAGAAAAGTCAAAAAAAGGAAGAGGTACCAACTTCAAAAGTGGGAGTCGAGAAGCCAAGTCCTCATGCTTACCCCAGCCTCCATACTTCCACGTCAGTAAACTGGTGCTATCTGAAGTATGTGAAACCAAACCCATCTGCAGAGAGAGATCCTCGTACCTCGGTTTATTCTACATGGAGCGTCAGTGCACACAACCCCAACCTGCCAGGCCTCAGCACTAAGCTGGCTCTGTCTCTGCTGTGCTCTAAACAGAAACATAGCTCTGAGACATACACCATGGCTACAGCCTCAACACCAGCCAGTGAATCAGCCCTTGAAAGCAGCACAAATCCAAATATATCAGAGGTAAACATTAACACACAAAACTCAGCCCTTATACAAACATATTCATAACACTTAAACTTTTTCATATTTAGTAATTTTACGATAGCAAGCTAGATCTTGCATTTGGACTTCATGTGACAGAGCAATGCAGAATAGAGGTAGAAAACTTTAATATGGTTTAAAGTTGTTTTTATTTTTGCATCTATTCTTATCAACTCTTTTACTCTAATTTCTATAAAACTCTGAATAGCATATAATTAATTGTCTTCTGATATAACTTATTTAAAGAAATAAAAAATTATTTAATCCTCTTAATCTTCATATAAGTACAGCTGTTCTGCAGATACAGTTGGGGTAAACAGGGGTTCTATAAAGAAATCACCAGAGTTATATGTGAATGCACTCAGCAATGCAAATTAATTTGTTCTTTCTTAAAATTATATACCGGTACTACTTTGTGGTTCTGTGTTTCATAAAGTCCCCTTAAAATACATTAGAGTCGAGTGTAAAACAGAGATGGTAATTTGTATTGGAGTTTGCTGTTGCAAAATCCCAAAAATAAAAGACTAAAGAATCTAAAGACAACCAAACATAACTTGGACTTAAGATCCAAGTCTTAGTAAAAGGTTTAATCTTTTGCAGTGAAAACTGAAAGGAAGACAGCTTGAGAGCTAAAGACCGAAACAGCTATGTCTTACTTTAAAAGGATGTGTTTGTTTTTTAACTAGTGACTGTGGATTTGGGGCTGTTTACGGCTCATAACAATCTGTTCATGTTAAATTTATTCTCATATTAATGACCATATTAAAGTATATCCAGCTGAATTTTGTACAAAATTTATTGGAAAACTGTAGAGCAAAATACACATAACTTGCTAACTTTACCATTGCAAGTTTATTTCTCAATAGAAATGGTGAAAAAAGGCTATTCTGGTTTAGTTTGCTCAAACCTTCAACATGCATTCACTTACTTGCTTAACTGTGCTCTGAACATCTGTACTACTTTGGATTAGGAACAGAGGTTTTAAAAGACATTTTTAAAAATAGTTTCCCAATATTATTAAAAATGATTAAGTTAGAAATGAGAAGAAACCCCTTCAAACTCTGTTTAAAGTAAAACATTGAAGGAACGGACAATATTAAGGATGGGATAAACAGTCGTTGGCCTGTTCAAATTTAAAATTTTATTTGAACTTCCTTTTTATTTTTTTCTGAGTGTGAAAATGAATAGCTTTTTATCTATTGAGCTTTTTCTGTAATATAAAGCAGCTTAGGCAGTTTTTTTGCGAGCTGGAATATTTTTTTTTTGAAGAATATGACATAACTGCTTATGAAAAATTATTATTTCTAATATATCTATTAAATGTTCATTTAATAATTTAGGCCTGAGGATGAGTGTGTAATTGATTTGACCGAAATGTAATGGACTTAATAAAAATCAAAGTATTTTAGTTGTTAAAATACTTGAACTTAAACTTCTGCAGACTGTAGAAAAAACTTGTTCTGAAACTTGTTGAATATGGAAAGAAAGACTTGATAATATAAGTCACGAAGATGATAAATCTCAACACTTGAGTGATTCATCATATCTGCAAATATGATAAAAAGCTTAAAGTGTGATATTGATTTACAACAAGCTATTAAAGAAGTGTTTGACTTTAAAATAAAAACTTGTAACATTTAAAGTTACTTGTCTCGAGTGTAGGTCCAAGCCACCACACCCAGTACCCTCCCTGAGGTGAAGGATGAGGAGACTCATGAAAAGGAGAATAGAAAAGAGAAGAGAGAAGAGGAAGCTCCTTCCACCTCCAAGCAAGGCGAACCAAGCTGGGTCCGGATCTTTGAAGGAGGGTAGGCTCAAACATGTCCTCAGAAACATGTCTGAGGACAAACTTTCTTCTTCCTGATGAAGGCAAGAAAGCTTAAACTAAGTTGAAAAGTAGCGTAGCAGATGGGAGGCGCTCGGGCCCAGAGGACTTTGCTTGTACCTGTAGCCAAGCTTTTTCCTCTAACTGCTGGCATGAATGTTGGTGTCATTTGCAGTGACAGCTGCGTTTGAGTGTGTATGTGTGGGATTGTTTAGAGTCCATGATATTTTTATCCATAGAGGGCAATGAAATGTTGAATGTAGGCTTATAAATTCAGTATTCAGTGATAATCCCAAAACCATTCATACGCCTGGCTGACTTGGTTTTAAAACTGATCTTTTAACATGCCTCTTCTGACTGAAAACATTGTTTACCTATTGGAGTGACCAAGCCAGAGTTCAGTCTTTAATCTGGTGGAGAAAATGTGTAGGGAACTGAAGATTATGGCAATGGCTGGGAGGCAAGACTTAGAGCTTATTACCATTGACGAATGACAAAAAATACCAGTAGCAACATGCAAAACGCTGCTCAGCAGTTATATATATATATATATATATATATATATATATATATATATATATATATATATATATATATATATATATATATATATATATATATATATATATCAGTGACGTGCGGTCAGGGGAGGCAGGTGAGGCAGTGCCTCACCAGCCATCATGGAAAGAAAGAAAATATATAATCATAAAGTAATTTAAATTGTTATATTCATCCGGTGGTTTGTACTAAAAAATATTCATTTTTCATGTAGCTTCACCAATTTCGATTTTTATTTGTTCAAAATCACTGAATTTTCTTATTTTCCCATTCAAATGCTTGGAAGCGATGCCGGTGAGGCAGCAGCGAGCTCTGCCTCACCTTGGATTGCGCAACCCCTGGCTCTGCGCTGGCTGCAAAGCGGAGAGAGCATGTTGCTGTACGGCGTCAATAAAATAGTTTAAACAAATGTAATATGTGAACTTATTTCTAATAATTTGGCTTATGTATATAATGTACAGAGCTTTTTGTCACCAACTGTGTTTGTGTAACGTGTTTCGTGTAATGAGCGATTATAAACGGCAGAGAACAAGTTCGAGGTGAGGCAGGCAGTTCTCTTGCCTCATGGCAGGGGGTGCTCAAGAGACTGAAAACATAAGGCAGGAACAGGACGGATCAAGGAAGGCTTTCTTCCCTGGCAGTGATCTCCATTGAGACAGAGAGACTTTTAAAACTGAAGGAAGATAAGGAGGACTTCTATTCATTTATAAGTAAAGGTAAGACAGTAATAACATTTATTTTGTTTTGTTTTTTAAGGAAATGTGTGTTTTGTGAGCTACAGTTTGTATGTGTAAGGATGCAGAAGTGAAACATAACCTGTAAACTGCTGTCAATCTATGCATCTATTTGCAAATCTGATTCTGATGACGTCAGTGCCTCACCAGCTATGAACCTCACCGCACGTCACTGATATATATATATATATATATATATATATATATATATATATAGATATAGATATAGATATAGATATAGATATAGATATATAGATATAGATATAGATATAGATATATAGATATAGATATAGATATATATATATAGATATAGATATAGATATATATATAGATATAGATATATATCTATATATAGATATAGATATATATATAGATATAGATATATATCTATATCTATATATATATAGATATATATAGATATAGATATATATATAGATATATATAGATATAGATATATATATAGATATAGATATATATATATATATAGATATCTATATAGATAGATATATATATATAGATATATATATATATATAGATATATATATATATATAGATATATATAAATGTTATAACGCTAGTAAATAAAATCTTGTAAAGGATATGAACAAATTTTTCATGATTTTTTTAATTCATCGCTCCAAAAAATATCTAGAAATAAGTAAACATTTCTTACATTAAGTGTATTTACCCTTAATTTGAGTAGGTAAATATGATTTACCAATGGAATGGGTATATTTACTCTTAAAATTAGATAGGGCATAATAATAAGATAATATGCACTTGAAATTTAGTTCAATTCAGTTTATTTACGGTATATAGAGCCAATTAACTACACATGTCATTTTAACGCACTTTACAGTTCACCAGATCATACAGTCAGAGACAATGCAATTCCTTTTTCTTAATTTTAATGTAAATTTTCTTGTTCCATTTGCAAAATGTCTCATTTACCTCTCAAATTCAAGACAAGATAAAGTTATTTTAGGAAAAATTACTTATTTAGATTTAAATTTTTACAGTGCAAAATTAGATCAAGCTTTTTTTTATATATACTTTTATCTGGAAAAAACAACCATTGTATTTGTTGTAAATCTGCCAGTGTTACTAATGCCTTTGAATGCATATATTTTAAATGTATATGTCCCTAACAAATATAGTGTTTGTTAGGGACGTTACAAAAGGCCATTCGAGACAACATTAAGTATCTTGAATGTCCTATGCTTAAATTCTTAAGTTAAAATAAACGTTGTTGTTTCTCATAATAGGAGTGGCTAAGTTTTTGTTATTCATTGAAGTTGTTGTATCCTCATTCCAATCTATAAAAAGAAACAGTTGTAGTTCATCACGAAACACCGTCAGTGGATATTAACCTTTTACAGGTGCAGTCGTTTGTCTACCTTGGTCCCCATGGTTTCACCTTTCGACTGCTCTATGTGCCATTCAGATTTCAGATTTTTGTCCAAAACGTGGGCTGTTGGAAAGCGACAAGACCCTAAGTATGATGGATACGACTCAGCCAATCAAACTGGAAAGCAAACTTAAAATTTTTGACTTTCCACCCTCCTTTTAGTCTCTGTTGTCACATAAACAAAAACAGCTTTTCTCTGAAAATATCAGCATGAAACAGAATATTTCTGGTGTGCATCTCTTTCATGTATGCTGTTCCTATTTCGCTTCACCTGTTTTTGTGAAGGGTGTAGCAATCTATGCAAAAAAAAGAATACGGTAGTATAAAATAAAAAAGAATAGAATAAAAATGAATATAACATAATAGAATAGAAAAACCTTTATTGCCTGACAATGTGGGAATTTTTATGTGACAGTTTCAAAACTTCATAGACAGGAGAAACTGGACTTAGATAACAGTGTAAATTAAGTGTACGAAAAGCTAACTAAAAAGTTAAAGGTACAGTGGAGGATGTTCGTTTTCTGGGTTGGTCATCAAAATAAGTAATCCTCCTAATTGTCAATCATTCTGGTGATATTTTTACGTAAGGCCGTCCTATGTGCTCGTCCCCATTTCCACATACCGGTGGCGAGTCTGACATAGTGGAAAAATAGTTGGTTTTTTTGGGGGAAAGTAAGCTTGAATGAGAAACAGAGCATGCACGGGGAGAAATGGGCTCATCCATGCTCGCACACGCGTTTAATTAGCGTTGCCTCTTGGTCGCGGGTGTAGGGTTGTGCATGTGCATTTTTTTTTATAGTGGAGAGGGTGGTTAAGCAGTAAAGCAGAAGAGAAAGGTCTTACTAGAAAGTGAAGTTATTAATCAATATTTCGATTTATTCATGTAAAAATGCATTCGAGTCAGAAAGACTGAAGACAGCAATCTACTCACAGAAATATATAAAAGGCAAAACCGTGCTTCATGCATAATTGTACAAACACTCCCAGAGAAACAAAAAGTGGACATTAGCATCTAAAAAGCTGACAGATTTAATTAATACAACAAAACAACAAACTATACCAGAAAAAAGATTCAGATATGCAGCTGTGAATAATAGATTGGTGCATAAATCTTAATACGAATTCTTCTAGAACCGTTTGTTTGCTTCCTCAGTGTGTTTAAGCTTTAAGTTTAGGTACTAGCAGCTGATCATATACAGACCGTTCACACTAAGCAAAGGCAGGTTTATGATCCAGAAAAAAGGGAAACAGGGAAATACACGAGTGGCAAAGAGATTTAAATTGTACCCATGTGATTTGATTTTCTGGTAATGATTTACGTAGGTATGAAAATATATTCAGCTACAAAATTAGTGCTGGATGTTGACGCAGTTTTGTGCACAGCCTTTATGGCTTCTATTTTTTGTTTACACACAACAGATTGAGAGTGAAGCAGTTGTCTGCTTGACAGAAGATAAGACACTAATTCCCATTATTCAAGATTCGCAGCCACACTTTACACACATAAAGGAAGCTAATTTTCTGCCATAAAGCCATCACTGTTTTCTTCCCTCTTCTTTTTGTCTGTCCGCATTGCATGCCACTTCCCTCTCTGCTTATACTCCTTGCAACATAATGTTGGTCCCCCTTTCATTCTTCCTAACTGAAAGCTTTATTGGCTTTTCCAACCTTTTTCCTTAGTGGTCTCCAAGCATTTTCAGCGCTTGATGTCCTTTCATTTCCCCATGCATGCATGCAAAACAAAACAAAACCCACAGCTGCTATAGTTGTGAACGCAGCAGAGCGCTTTTCTTCCCTACTCTGTTAGGACCAATTATTTCTTTCTCCCTAAACTCTACACTTTGAATTTCTTCCTGTGTGCAAAGTCTGAGAGTATAATTATTTACAGTATATTTTAGTCATATTTGGGTTGCAGTGGCTTGTCAAAGTTGTACAACTTCTAAGAAGTCTTCCTTAATGAAAAGTGGAACTAGTTAAGTACTTCTACTTGAAAAGGTGTCTTTGGTAGTAGCTGTTTGGACAATACGCTAAATATTCAACTATTTCCAAGATTTTAATATTTAATTACTGTTTCTTTTTAATTGCACCCCTGTCACTGTTACATAATTTGTTCTTTAACTGTCCAATAATCAGAAAAGTAAGATGTATTCTTAATATAGCCCTCAATTTGTTTACTGATGTTCTCTAAAAAACATTTTAGGCTTTAAAAAAAAAAAAAAAAAACGTTATTTACACTGCGAATAAACTACACAGAGCTGGACTCTATTCACTAACTTGTCGACC